GTCCAGGCCCTGTCCAGGATTAATCTTCCTGGTACCTGGCTTCAAACCGGTCCTGTGCGGACGTACCCGGCCTCAACGCTGGCCTGGGTTCGAACAGGTCAAAATCTGTTCAAAAACAAAAGAAAAGGTCCAAACGTTTTTAGGAGCTCAGCCTCTGAGCCTGAATCTGGCCCTGGCCCTAGAAGCGTGTACCTGGCCACAAAACGGACAACAGTACACCCGTTAGAAAAACAGCAGCAAATAAATAAAATAAAGACTATAAAAATAATCTAAAGCTAGCGTTTTTCTGATGCAGGCCCGAGTAAAAATGCCATAGGGCCTTCAGGTTGCGGTGACACGACCTGGGGGCCCTATTCCAACCTCGGGTCCTGTGAGGGGCCCGTGTGTAGGCTTTCAGCAGATAACACGCCCCCCTCCTTATGAAGACGAGCCGGGGCGCGGGCGAAGCTGCCGATCCGATGGCGGAATGTAGCGAGGATGGCGAGGAGCTGGAGTGCTCTGCGTAGTCTTCCCTTTGCTAAGATAGCGTGAGAGAACGACGGGGGCTGCCAACGGTCAGCCTTGTGGCTGCAGTAGGAAAAGTGAAGTAGAAACTCTGTTTCTTTGTTGCCATGGCGCCGATCGGTGATGATGTAGCCGGCCTCCTGAGGTCCGTCCACGGAAGGAGGGTCTTGCGTACGTCGACCGGGAAACTCGTCGGACTCCGCTGAAACAAAAGGAGCGAGTTTGGAACAGTGAAACACCGTGTGGACGGGCAAGTGAGGTGGCACCGCGATGCGGAATGAGGGCCCCTCGGGATCATCACCAGCTGCAGAGAAAATGCTCCAAGGCCCCATCCACTTGGGAAGGAGCTTGCGAGAGATGTCTTGCTCAAGGCTGAACTCCGCTACGGAGACCCAAACCAGATCGCCGACGCGGAATGGGCAAGGAAGGCGATTGCGGTTGGCTTGACGGCTCATCCGTATTTGCGTCTTCGACATCTGATCCCGTGCCTTGACAAGAAGCTCTTGCATGCGACGAAGGAACGCAAGATGATCGTCGCTCTCGGCTGTGCGCGGCGAAGTAGCGTCCAACGGCGATGAGATGGGTGAACCATGCTCAAACTCGAACGACGATATCCCGATAGCCGGGTGGATCGATGAGTTGTAAGCCTACTCAACATCTGGCAAGCGTTCAACCAATCAACCTGGTCGGGACGGATGAGAGTGCGGAGAAGGACTTGAGCGCTCTGATGCGCGCTTTCCGTTTGACCATCGGTTTGCGGGTGGCGAGCCGAACTCGGCTTCAAGGATGAGCCCCATCGCTTGACGAGGGCGACCCAAAAGTCAGAGAGAAAGCGAGTGTCCCGGTCGCAAACGATCTCCTTGGGGTAGCCCTTGGAGCGAATCCAACCGGTGTAGAAGACCTCGACTAACTCCGGTGCCTTTGCGTGATAGCGACAAGGCAAAAACATGGCGTACTTGGTGAGGCGGTCGACGACCGTGAGGATCCCATCAACGCCGGTCTTGTGCTTTGGGAAGGGTCCGGTGATATCCATAGCAATTGCTTCCCGTCGCCCAAGGGGCACTGGTAATGGGTGTAGCTCGCCGAACGGACGATGGTTGCGTGACTTGCAACGCCGACAGACTTCGCATGACTCACAATAGCGGGTGGCGTCCTTGAGAAGGTCGAGCCAATAGAACCGCTGGCGAAGTCGGCCAAGTGTACGGTTGACAYCAAAATGTCCGGAGGCGGGCGCATCGTGAAACTCGCCAAGAAGCCGTGTGAGCAAGTGTGGATCATTCGGCATACAAAGAAGATCCTTACCCCGTGAATGCACAAGTAAGTAGCCCTCTTGGATCCGATAATGCAAAGGCACTGGATTCGGAGAGGAACAATTCGCGTACTTGTCGCGAAAGTGGGGGTCGGCTTGATTGCCGCGGATGAAGCTCTCCCGCAAGTCGTCGTCGATCTCGAAGGTAGAGTAGACTGCGGTGCAAAGATCCGGTCGCCGTGAGAGGGCGTCCGCAAAACGGTTTGACTTCCCGGGAATGTGATTGGGCAAAAAGTTAAACTGGTCGATGAAAGCCATCCAACGGGCAATGGTACTGTTAATCGTGTCTTGCGACTTGTAGAATACCAACGGATTGTTATCCGTTACCCATCGGAATGCTTTCCGACCAAGGAGGAAATATCGCCAACGTT